GCTGTCATTTTTGAGTCAGTTGGTTACTTCTTCTCCTCCTCCCCCTCCCCCTTCTTTCTTCTTTTTTCTCCTCCCTCCTTCCCTCCCTCCTTCCCCTTCTTTTCATTAAATAGAGACAGGTCCTCACTCTATTGTCCAGACAAGAGTACCGCAGATAGCCATTATAGCTCACTGTAACCTTGAACTCCTGGACTCAAGCGATCCTCTGGCTTCCGTCATGCCTGGCTACGACTACTTTTATTTTTTGGTAGAGACGAGGTCTCGATGTTGCTTAGGCTGGTCTCAAACTCCTGGCCTCAAGGGATCCCCCTGCCTCAGCCTCCCAAAGTGTTGGGATTTATAGATGTGAGCCACAGTGCCCTGCCAGTTGGTTATTTTCTTACTGGCAAGTTTTGAGAATTCTTTATATAGTCTAGATTTAAATCCTTTGTTGGGTACATGATTTGCAATTTTTTTCCCCCATCTGTGGCTTTTCTTTTCATCTTTGTAACAATGTCTTTTGTAAAGCAAAATTTAAAATCCAGTCTGATTTTTTGCTTATAGATTATGCTTTGACATCTAAAGTCTTTTTGTCTAACCCTGAGTTTCAAAGATTTTCTTCTGTTTTGTTTTTTTTTTTTGAGTAGGGTGTCAATCTGTCGTCCAGGCTATAGTGCAGTGGCATGCTCACAGCCACCATTGCCTTGACCTGCTGGGCTCAGGCAATCCTTCCACCTCAGCCTTCCAAGTTGCTAGAACCACAGCTACATGCCACCACACCTGGCTAATTTTTTGATTGATTGTGAAGACAAAGTGTCGCCAAGTTGCCCAGGCTGTGTTTGGATCCCTGGACTCAGGCTTCTCGCCTCCACCACCTCCCAAAGTGCTGGGATTACAGGCATGAGCCACCCCGCTTGACTTCTCCTGTGTTTCTTTAGTTTTACATTTTAAATTTAGATACGATCCATTTTGAGTTGTTTTTGATACGATCCATTTTGAGTTGTTTTTGTATTAGGTGTAAATTTTTGGTCATGATTCTTCTTTCTTATTCCTCTTCCTCTTCTTCCTCCTCTTTTTCTTCCTCTTCTTCCTCTTCCTCACATATGAATGTTAAACTTTTCCAGCATCATTTGTTGCAAAGAGGATCCTTTCTCCATTGAATTATCTTTGTACTGTTATCAGTAATCATTTGGCTACATTTGTTTGGGGCTACTTATAGACTCTCTATTTTGTTTCATTGATGAGAGAGTAGTGGGGGGAAAAAACAGCCAATGGGTAGTTCTTTACTGCCTGCTTTGCAAGTGAAAGCAGCAGTTCAGATGAAGGCTGTGCGATGTTTAATGGGATTGGAGGTCTTCTGGGATTCGGTGCATAGAGCCCTGTGGAAGAGCAGGAGAGGGTGGCAGTGACATGGGAGCTTGGAAGGTTACTCCACCTCTTCTGATCTCCATTGGGCTCCATGGCTGTTCCCTGGGGCTGTAAACTCTGCCTGCTGGAAGTCCTCAGGGAGTGACTCAAGCTATTGGTCTGGCCATGGGCTGTTGGCCTGCCTTGAGGGTGCTCAGAGCCTAGCAGAGACTTTATTGGGAGTGAAGTCTGCTTTGTGCTTTGAAAACACATTCCAATTTGATCCTAACTGGAATCTCATTATGGCTTATTCTTAAGTTCCAGGATTATGTTTGTTTAGTTATGAAGCTTTTAAAAAAGTTGTGATAAAATATACAAACAAAATTTACCATTTTAGCCATGTTTTAAACATGTAGCTCAGTGGCATTAAGTATACATTTACACTATTGTGTTATCACCACCACCATCCATCTCCAGAATTCTTTTTATCTTGCAAAACTGAAGCTTTATACCCATTAAACAGTAACTCTCCATTGCCTCCTTCCCCAGGCTGGCAACCACCAATCTACTTTCTGTTTCTGTGAATTTGCCTCTTCTGTGTTTCTCCTGTAAATGGAATCATACAGTATTTGTCCTTTTGTGTCTGGCTTCTTTTTTCATATTGTAGCATGTGTCAGGATTTCCTTCCTTTTTAAGGTTGAATAGTATTCCGTTGTATCTATACACACCACCTTTTTGTTTATCCTTCTATCAGTGGACATTTGGATTGCTTCTGCCTTTTGGCTGTTGTGAATAGTGCTGCTATGAACATGGGTGTACAGGTATCTGAGTTCCTGCTTTCATTTACTGAGTATATTCCCAGAAGTAGACTTGCTGGGTGATATGGTAATTTGATGTTTAATTTATTGAGGAACTGCCACCATTTTCCATATTGGCTGCACCATTTACATTCTCACCAGCAATGTACAAGGGCTCCGGTTTCTCCATTTCCTTACCTTATTTTCTGGTTTTATAGCCTAGATGCTGAGCTTCAATGCTTTCATTTTTACTTTTATCTTTTTTTCACATTGTATGGTGGTCACAGTGTCCATTATGGTATAGCTTATGGTAAAGTTGAAGTTTCCAAACTTTTGATCAGCAGCAGTCTTTTTTTCTAAATGTAGAACCCAGGAGATAAAAGAGTTATCAGCCTAGGAAAGGTTTCAGTCTTCTTTGTCTGTAAGAAAGACTCTATGTGGACGAGTTCAGTGGCTCAGCCTATAATCCCTAGCACTTTGGGAGGCCAAGACAGTAGGTTGCCTGAGCCTGCAGGTTCGAGACCAGCGCGGGCAACTTGGCTTGTCTCTACAATAAATCAAAAATTAGTCGGGCGTGGTAGTTCCAGCTACTTAGAAGGCTGAGGCGGAGGGATCGCCGGAGCCCAGCAGGTTGACACTGGGATGGGCATGACTGTGCCACTGCACTCCAGTCTGGGCAACGGAGTGAGACTACGACTCAAAAAAGAAAGACTGTATTTACTGCCTTTCTTGCAAGCACCATTAGAGAACTCAGAGCCTATGCTAGAAGGCATTGTTGTAAGCACTGGTAGCAGTCATTTTATTTTACAAAAGTGGAACATGTGTTCAGTCCCACTGCCTGTCAGGCACTTCTGCCAGCCTCTCAAATGGAACTTTTAATGGCTGTTCCTCCCACCCTCTCTGACTTATTTGGGAGCACCTTTCTTCCCTTAGGCCAGCCTCCCAGGTGTCAGGTCCTGTGAGTCTACTTCATATGTGTCTCCTCTCCATCCCCACTGTTACCACTCTATCTAGACTCCCAACATCTTTTTAAAAATAAGGGCTTTATTGAGACATACTTTATATACCGTGTAGTTCACCTATTTAAAGTGTACAGATTCAGGCCGGGCGCAGTGGCTGTTGCTTGTAATCCCAGCACTTTGGGAGGCCAAGGCAAGAGGATTGCTTGAACCTAGGAGTTTAAGACCAGCTGGGGCAACATAATGAGACCTTGTCTCTACAAAAAGTTTAAAAAGTTAGCTGGGCATGGTGGTACATGCCTATAGTCTTAGCTACTCGGAAAGCAGAGGTGGGATGATTGCTTGAGCCCAGAAGTTGGAGGCTGTGGTGAGCCATGATCATACCACTGCACTCCAGCTTGGATGATAGAGTGAGAACCCAACTCAAAAAACAAAAGACAAAACAAAACCATACAGATCCAGTGATTTTTAGTGTATTAACAGAAGTGTGTAGCTAACACCACAGTCAACTTTAGGACATTTTAATCACCCCAGAAGGAAACCCTAAACTCACTGGTAGTCACAATTGTCTTCCCCCAGCCCACCAATCTACTTTCTGCCTGTATAGATTTGCCAGTCTTGGGCATTTTATGTAATTGGACTCAGACAATTTGTCCTCTTTTGTGTGTGACTTCTTTCATTTAGCATAATATTTTCAAAGTTCCTCCATGTCGTAGCATGTATCAGATCTTTATTCCTTTTTATGACTGAATAACATTTCTTTGAATGGACACACTTCATTTTACTTATCCGTTCATCAGTTAATGGACAGTTGGGTTGTTTCTACCTTTCAGCTGTTATGAATAATGCTGCCATGAACGTTCAGAACAAGTTTTGTTGTGGACATGTTGGGCATGTTTTCATTTCGCTTAGGTAGATACGTAGGGAGTGGACTTTGCAGGTCATATGCTTGTACTGTTTAACATTTTGAGGAACTAACAGACTTTTTCCACATGGGTTGCACCATTTTACATTCCCAGCAATGATGTGTGAAGTTCTAATTTCTCCAAATCTTTGCCACTCCTGTTATCTTTTGCAGCCATCAAACTCGTCTGCCTACCTCTTTATTTTTTTCCCCATTACCTTTCAAAAACATAGGTGAAGCATTTTATTCTTCCTAAAACCCACAGTGGCTCCCTGTTGCCTGCAGATTAAGTTCACAGGTCAGGGCCTTTGTGTTTGACCCTTGACTCTCTTTCCATCCGCCACATATATCCCTACTCTAAGGCCTCTGTCTCCTGGTTTCCCCATCACATCACATTCTCCCTGCCTCATTGCTTCACAGCCTTCCACTGCAGTGTCCTGTTTCTGAAGGCTTAATGTGAGGGCTTACTCCTTTGCCTTCCTTCATCCCTTTGAATGAACTCTTGGATGTTGACCATGTTTCTCTTTATGTCATTCAGTTTTGAAAAAAGTAATTGTTTATAGAATTGTTACCTCTGCTGGCAGTGAGCCCTGGAGGCAGGATCATTCTCACTCTTTTGTGTACCTGACACCTGGTGCACTGCCCAGGAAAGGCACGTCCTCCGGTGAGGAACCAAGGGGCTCCTGTGTGATAGACCGCACTGCTGTCCTAAGGCAGCTATCCACCAGCCTGTGTGCATAGAGCCCAGGGAGGGACTGGTGGACTCCTGGTGCCATGTCATTCCTGGCTCTTCAGTCTGACCTGTTTCCTTTCTAGATTTGTGGACTGGTGCAGCCTCTGCCAGTGATAGGAAGTGATGCTGTGTGGCAGTGCTGAATCTCTCTGAATATGGTAAGCACTACTGCCTGCCTGTTTGTAGATGTCAGCGTTATTTTGTTCCTTTACTCCTTGAGGGGAGGAGCATTTTCCTGGTGGATCTGAAGGCTCTTATTGTGAAGCAGCCTTCCTCCCAGGATGGCTGTTGGCATGTTTGCGGGTGAGGATACTTGTCCAGTGGTTGAAGTGACTTGCAGGGTCCTGTCACAGTTGCTGGAAAGGTGAGAGTTAGCGTGTTTTGTTGGAACCTGTTGTTCTGATACTTGGATCCTTTGCTGTGTAGAGCTGTTGCCGGGGTGTCCCCAGCCTCTCTTTTTGCAGTGGATAGTACCAAGGACATCCTTACCACACAGACTGGCCCGGTTCTCTCCCAACATGTTTTAGTCCTTATATTTTTTTCCCCTAGCTGATGATTTGTTGATCATCCCCACATTCTGAGAAGGCCATAGCTTTTCAAGGTAGAAGAGGTTATATGGTGGAGCAGAATTCTATTCATGTGTGGGTGGTTGAAGAGATGAGTTACATCTCCATTGAAAGCACTTCATCTTTTCCTCTTAAATCCCTGTTTTTAGATTCGAATTGCAGCCTTAAATGCCAGCTCCACGGTTGAGGATGATCATGAAGGAAGCTTTAAAAGTCACAAAACCCAGACAAAGGAAGCTCAGTTATGTAATCCAAGGTCTTTTTCTACAGGTGGACCTTCCATCTCATTTCTGTAGATGGAACCTCATTTTAAACACATTTAGACATCTCATTAATGGGATTTTAGGGAGAAATTCCATTTTGAAAGATGGCTAGCTCTCCATCTCATGTGAAACCTGTTTCACTTAGGAGACTATCATGTTGAAGAGAAATTATATGTATTCTGCCAGTGTATGTGAGGGCCAGTGCAGCCCTGGAACCCACTTCTCCAGCTGGTGCCGGCTTTCCGTGCAGCCCATTTTTCATGCAGGCCTCAGAGTTGGCATACCCAGGGAATGGTAGAATATTAGTGGTAGATGGTGCTTTGAGGTTCCCTAGTGTGTTATATTTAACAGCTCAGTCCCACCAAAATACTCTCATTTCAGATGCCAGTTGCATGTACTGAGTGCCAGAATACCTACACTTCTGTCCACCTGTGCTTCAAAGTTGGGGATCTCACCCTCCATCCCCTTTAGGTTCAATAATTTGCTAGAATGGCTCACAGAACTCAGGAAAACACTTTACTTACGCTTATCAGTTTATTGCAAAGGATACATCTTAGGAATAGCCAAATGGAAGACATGTTTATGGCAAGTTATGGTGGGGGATGCACAGAGCTTCCATGCCCTTTTAAGCTTTCTTAATTTTATGGCAGTTCTATTACATAGGCATGACTGATTAAAAGGGTTATCAACTCAATCTCTAGCCCCTTTTTCCTCCTAGGAGGTTGTGAGATGTTCCAGCTGCCTAATCACATGGTTCCAACTGTCTAATCACGTGGTTGGTTTATCTGGTATCCAGCCCCCAACCTGCTATCTAGGGAACCCTAGCCACCTATTACCTCATTAGCATAACTCAGGTCTGGTTGAAAGGGGCTTGATATGAATAACAAAAGATGCTTCTGTCACCTCATCACTCAAAAATTTCCAAGGATTTTAGAAGCATATGTCAGGAACCAGGGACAAAGAGCAAATACAGATATTTCTTTTCTTTTTTTTTTTTTTTTGAGTTGGACTCTCACTCTGTTGCTTGAGCTGGAGTGCAGTGGTACCATCATGGCTACCCCAGCCTTGACCTGCTGGTCTCAGGTGGTCCTTCTGCCTCAGCCTTCCAAGTTGCTGGAACAACAGACGCGCACCACCATGCCTGGCTATTTTTTTTTTTTTGAGTTGGAGTCTCACTCTGTCGCCCAGGCTGGAGTGCAGTGGCACAATCATGGCTACCCCAGCCTTGACCTGCTGGGCTCAGGTGATCCTTCCACCTCAGCCTTCCAAGTTGCTGGAACAACAGGCATGTGCCACCATGCCCAGCTAATTTTTTGATTTATTGTAGAGATGAGGACTCACCATGTTGCCCAGGCTGGTCTTGAACTCCTGGGCTCAGGCAATCCTCTTGCCTCCTTTTCCCAAAGTGTTGGAGTTACAGGTATGAGTCACTGTTCTGTGTGCACGTTTTGCTGTTTAGTCTGAAGTAGACTCTTGTAGCCTCCATAAATTTGTTTACACTATTGTTTGAAGAGTTCTGTACCTGGAAGGACAAAAGTACCTGGGGTCCAGCCCTGGTCAGCTGGTTCTTGGGGACCTTTTTGTAGTATAAACCAGACAACAGTAGGAGATAAGTGAAGGGGGCTTGATTCGAGCTTTCAGTCTTCTTGGTGGAATTCCCTAAGAGCTCCAGAGTAGATAGACTCTTGGATTACTCAAGGGATGCTTTCTGAGCATGAACAGTAGTAGTGTTTAAGCCACATGTCTCAGGAAAGAGCTGCTTTGTCTCAGTGAGTTTTTTTCTGTTAGAAAATGTTTTTATTCTTTGTCCTGTGGTGAGAGCAGTAATTTTCTAATCAGTAGTTTCTTAGAAGATATAAGATTTCCTAAGAATTGTCATAAAAGCTGTGAAATAACTTTTCACATTAAGCATATTTGCAGTTCTTATGTTCTTTCAGCTCACTTAAACTTTTGATATTGAGGGTAGGAATTATGTCCTTATAGAGGTCAGATACTAACTTATTAAATTAACATGGCTGTGGTCATGTGATGAGTTATAGAGTTGTGAACTCAGCCTTCTGACTCCTAAGCCAGGATGAAACTCCAGGCCTTCCTACTGCTCCCAGGGAGCTACTCACATCTGTGTCCTATCTTCATACCTGGAGACACCAGCCAGCCCGGGTGCTATAAATAAGAATTTCTAGTGGTACATCACCAAACTCTAGTGTCCAAGGCTCTAATATTGGTTGAGAACAGTGAGTACTGACCAGGCCTAGAGAGCAGGGGTTGTGGGGAGGGGACACACTTGGATGCAGAGGCCTGTGTGAATTCTCCCTGTGTTACTAATTGCGCATGTGGCCTTGAGTGAGTTATTTAATCTCTCGGTGCCTTCCAGGTCTACACCGATATAGTGGGAATAACTGAAAAAGAATAGCTGTGAAAATGGAATGAACTGGTATTGTTAATAGTATGAAGAACAGAGCCTGAAACCTAGCACTTGATACGCTAAAAGTCATTAGTAGGAGATAATTGCTGTCATCTCCTGTGACCATCGCTGCCTCTGTGGGTATCTCTAATGCGCCAGACACAGTGCTGTTGCTTCCCATGCACACTTTAATCCTCACACTATCTTTCAAGGAAGGGGTCTATAGCCTCACCTTAGTGATGAGGAAATGGAGGCTCAAGATCACCATTCTGCTAATCAGAGTTGGAGCAGGAATGTGAACTGAGATCTGTCTTCACAGCACATAGTCTTTCTTTAATCCCACAGGACTCCCATATTTTCTTTTTCTTCTACTCTTTTCATTTCTTTTACCTTTTAAGTATTTAAGGAATGCAAATATTCAAATTGACAAAATATATCAAGAAAATGTTCTGAGTTAAATTTGCCCATGTAACTTGTTATGTGCTATTACTCTAGCTCTTGGAAGCGTGTGACTCTAGGAAAGATAAGCTGGTCTTGCTAGTCAGTTATAAGATAGTTATGTCACTTTTGCCATTTCCCTGGGTAGTTTGAGTGGCTTGGCCAGGATAGAGCTGTGCCCCATTTGTTTCCATGGTGCCTGCTCAGCGAGGGATCTGATTAAGTATGTGTGTGTGCCCTTCTGCTTGTGCTGTTTCTAGGCAGTGATGCTGGACTCCACGGATGTCAACCTTTGGTATAAAATTGGGCATGTGGCCCTGAGGCTCATCCAGATCCCCCTGGCTCACCATGCTTTTGAGGAAGGGCTGTATTGTAATCCTGATCATTGGCCCTGCTTGGACAACCTCATCACTGTCTGTGTACACTCAGCAATTATACAAGTGGGTCAGGCTTTAATGCTCTCTCCCATGTGCCAGTGTTTTGGGGGACAGAGGAAAGAAGGAATGAAAATGTTTTTGTATCCCTGCTTTATTCTGCTTGTCTTTCTTGATTTATCAGATGTTTTGTAGTAAAAAGACGCATGTTTTCTGAATGTGTTTCCCTTTGCCTATTTCGTTTCATTCCTGCATTGTCTCATCTTCTGTGTCTTAGTGTATTTGGGCTACCCTAGAAAAATACAGTAGATTGGGTGACATCGTAATAGCCCCAAGAGTCTTTACTCATCCTAGTGTCAACATTTTTTATTTGTTTTTTGAGTTGGAGTCTCACTCTGTTGCCTAGACTGGAGTAGAGTGGCACGCCTGTAATCCCAACACTTTAGGAGGCGGAAGTGAGAGAATTGCCTGAGCCCAGGGGTTCAAGACCAACCTACAGTAAATCAAAAAATTAGCCGGCCTGTGGTTACAGCTACTTGGATGGCTGAAGCGGAAACAGAGTAAGACTCCAAATCAATAAACAAACAAACAGACAGACAAATAGGAACAGAATAGAGTATGTTGAGGAGGATGAGGCCTGCTTACCCTTCCTATCTCCAGTTTACAGCCATTTTACAAATCTTTTTACTTGAGGCAAAATGTACACACACTAATGCGCATAAATCTGAAACCTATCAATTTGCATGTGTGAAAACACATCAAGATATGGAACATTTGCAGGCTCCAGAAGGCAGGCTACTTTGGGTTCCTTTCACTCATTACTACCTCCCTAAGGCAGCTGTCATTTCTTTGATGACAGCTTGCTTGTTGTTGAACTTCCTTTAGGTAGAGTCAGAAAGCGTGTACTCTTCTCAGCGTGGCTCCCTCCGCTTGTCATCCTGACTGGGAGTACACCTGTCTATGTTACAGCAGTTGTTAGGTATTTTTTTATTGCTATGTAATCTATTATTTTATCTACACAAGTTAACTATTCTGTGCATGCACCATTTGGGTTATTTTCAGGATTTGGCCTCTTAGGTATAATGTTCTGAACATTCCTGTATATATCCTTCAGTGAACATACAAAGGGGTACCCAAAAGTGTAATTATTTTTTGGAGGGCAGACCCCTTGTAGTACAGGCTTTTCCCAATAGGTAAGTGTTCTAGGAACCCATTGGCGTCAGTGTACCAGCTAGCGTTGTTGTGAGAGGCTGCATTTGGCTTCAGTGAATTTGTGGTGGGGGTATTCTTTCAACATGCTTGCCTATTTTATGATGAACAACCTGCCCACATCGAACTCAGCGTCCAGGAGTCTTTGAGCAGAAACTACATGACCCATGTGCCCCACCCTCCCTATTCACCCAATCTCATACCAAGCAATGTTTGTTGCTGTTTACTTGGTGAAACAAGTCCTTAAAGGGTAACGTTTTGCAAAGGTAGAAGAGGTAAAACAAAACGGCAGAAGCACTAAAAGGCATCAACACTGACAAGTTCAAAAATGTTTAAGCAGTGGAAAAAGTGTCTCGATAGGTGTATCAAATGGAGAGTACTCTGAAGGTAATGAAGTTTAAACATGTAAGAATAAGTACACAATTTTTTATAAATAAATTCTGGGGTTTTTTTGGCCCCCCATCATATGTAATTGTTCTGTTGCTTGTCTCTGTCTTCATTCCCTCCAGCAGAATATAACAATTCTGTGGGGCAGCAGTTTCTTCTTCCAGAGGCTCTGGGTCTCTTCTTGGATGTTCCTCCTACAGTTAGGGTACCGTCTTTGGAGTTCTGCCTTCCTTCGCCAGCCAACTGCTTTAGTTCTTTGTATACTTCTCTCAAAGTAGAAGTTATGCTTGGTAAACTCAAGTCCTTATGGGGAAAATAATGTTTATATTAGGGTTCTCCAGAGAAATAGAACTACTAGGATATATATACATATGTAAAAAGAGATTCATTGTAAGGAATCGGCTCATTTGCTCTTGGAGGCTGACAGGTTCCAAGATGGACAGGGTGAGTCATCAAGCCACAAACCCAGAAGAGCATTGGTATGGTTCGAGTTTGAGTTCAGAGGCCTGGAACTGGGAGAACTAATAGTGTAGCTCTGGTCTGAAGGCTGACGGGCTCAGGAAGAGGTGACATTTTGGGTCTAGTGAGAAAGTAGGAAAAAGCCGGCATCCCAGTTCAAAGATAGGAAGAAATATTTTGTCTTTCTTGGGGGGAAGTTAGCCCCTTTTGTTCTAGTCAGGCCTTCAACTGATTGCATGAGGCCCACCCATGTTAGGGAGAGCAATCTGCTTTACTCAGTCTACTGAGTTAAATGTTAATCTCATCCAAAAACATCCTCACAAAAATCCCAAAATAATGTCTGGCCCAAATCTGGATACCCCATGGTCCATTCAAATTGACACATAAAATGAGCCTTAAAAGGGACTGAATTGAGAGCCCTGTTAGATTTTATCTTCATTTAAACCAAGAAGTAAAAACAGCATGTTAGATTGGCTCTCAGTGGCATTTTATGTGTTTGAGGTGAATAGGTAGAGATGCTGTTGGGATAAGGCCTGCTGACCACCTCTCATTCTCTTGAGGTTTCCCTGTCCTTCCTTCTGCAGGTGTGTTTGTGGAGTGTAACTAGTGAGTTTAGCTTATGGCAGTTAATATGCCTGCTGAGAACTGGCATCATCCAAGTGCTCAGTGTGCTTCCTGGGTTTTCTCTCTGGGAGTCACTGATGGCCACCCTTCAGGTCCTGCTGTAGTCCCAGAGAAACCATTTCCTTTGTGTGCCTGAGGCAGCACAGGTGGGCCATCAATTCAACAGTTCCGTCTACAGCTTGCTGGAACATGCTGGAATTGTGTACACCTTTCCCTGCTTGCAGGCTGCACAGCCTTTGTGTGCTTTGGGATGTGTGATCCCTGCTGAGTATTATAACCAGGCTGAGTTCTCTCCCTCTAAGCATACTAGGAGCACATCACTTCTTTCCTCTCTCTTGACGCTTCCATGCCCAGATCTCTACTTCTGCTATGGCTTTCCTCCCTATTTTGCTCCTCTCCCCTAGGTGTTTCTTTTTCTGGTTATCTATTTTTAAGAGACAAGGTCTCACTCTTTCACCCAGACTTGAGTGCAGTGACACAATCACAGCTCACTGCAGCCTTGAACTCCTGGGCTCACAGAGTCCTCCTACCTCAGCCTTCCAAGTAGCTGAATCTACAGGTATGCGCCACCTTATCCGGCTAATTTTTCTCATTTTTGGTAGAGATGATGTTTTCCTATGTTGCTTAGGCAAGTCTTGAAATGACCTCAAGGGATCTTCCCACCTTGGCCTCCCACAGTGCTGGAATTACAGGCTTGAGCCACCACTCCCGGACTTTGGTTATTCTCGATAGTAGTAACTTGCCATTCTTCCATACCATACAGAGAAGCTGAGCAGGGCATGATAGTGATCCCAGTGCCTGGGTAGAGTGGAGCTGGTGCTCTGTGCATTGTGCCGTTTCTCCTGTGTGTTCACCGGTGAGACCTGGATTGTTCCCGTTTATAAGTGTTAAAGGCATTTATAATTTATATTGTAGTTCTGCTTTCTGAATCCATGCCATGCCATTTTTCTCCATGCATTAGTTGACCTGTTACTGTCTACATTCCCAGAGGACCTGGAATGGGCACAGTCTTTCCAGATTAATGACTTGAGGAGGCTCATTATTACATTCACATGAATCTAAAATTTTAGGCAATGACTTTAAGAAAGATTTTTTAAAAAAGAAAATAAAATTTGGAAAATTCAGGTAATCAAAAATTTAGAAAGCCAGTTTTATGTATACAAATGGAGTCATATTATATGACCTGTTTTTCCCCTACTTCTGCTTAGTGTCATATCATGGCCTTCTTCCTGGTCAGTGGCACACTCTTCTACCATCTGTGCAGCGGCTGCTGGGAGCACGTTGTGTGGATCAGCCATAGTTTACTTACCAGGCCCCCACAGTGGACAGAGTGGTTTCCAGTTTTCTTGAAGACTTTTAAAAAATTTTATTATTTATTTATTTATGTTTTTGAGTTGGAGTCTCACTCTGTCGCCCAGACTGGAGTGCAGTGGCTGCTCTCGGCCACCACAGCCTCGACCTGCTGGGGCTCCGGCGATCCTTCCACCTCAGCCTTCCAAGTAGCTGGAATTACAGGCGCACGATATCACGCCTGGCTAATTTTTTGATTTATTGTAGAGACGAGGTCTCACCAAGTTGCCCAGGTGGGTCTCGAACCCACGGGCTCAGGCAATCCACTCACCTCAGCCTCCCAAGGCGCGGGATTACAGGCTGAACCACCGAGCCAGCTGAAGGCTGTTTTTTAGTTAGCCAATAGCTAATCACTGTGAGCCTGAAGCTTTTTTTTTAAAGCAGCAATTCCTAGAAGTGGGGTCACTGAGTACAGGGTCTGTGTATAATGCTTGTGGTCCTCCAGAAAGGTTGTGCTGTCTACCCTCTGCTGGTAGCATTTGGTCTGTTCACCTTGCAGTGCCCCATCTATTCTGGTTATTATTTTCAGAAATCTTTCCTGATTGAATTGGTTAAAATGGTACTCTTTATCAGTTACCAGGCATTTTCTTGATTCGAGAGTGGGAACATTTTCCTGGTGTTAACTGGCAATGTCAGAGCTTCTGAGTGCAGTGTCAGAAGTCATAAACTATTTCTTTTTCTGCCAGCATGTCTGTACTTCATCTGCAAAGCTTGGGAGAAGGACTGCCGGAACAGCAAAGGGCTAGTTCTCAAGGAGAAGATCTTTGAGGAGCAGCCTTGTCTCCGGAAGGACTCTCTCCGAATGTTCCTCAAGTGGTATGCCCTGCCCCTTCCCGTGCCACATAGCCAGTGAAGGTCAGGAGTGTACCTTATTCTCTCAGGTCCTGACCTCCCAGCCGATGAACCCTCTGTGCTCTGGGCTTCATGCCCTGCTGCAGTTCCTCATCTGATGAATTGACCTTGGACTGCCTGTTATTTACTCTGCATTGCCTAATCTCTGGTTGACCTCTCAGGCTGCTGCTCTCCTTTCCTACTGCCCTGCCAGAGCTCAGTGTCCTAGCTCTCTTCTGCATGCTTGGGCAACCTGTTGCCTAGCTTGCCTCCTTGCCTCCTGCCTTTCCTCTTTCCAGGGTTTTGTCTGAAACATGCTTCTGTGTGGCATCCTTGCCTTGCCTCCAGAGCAAGCCCACACTCAGTTGTATCACCCAAGAGATCCTTTGAAGCCCGACGTCTAGTTCTACCCCCTCACCTCCTGCTTTTCCCTCCTAGGCTCCTTTGGTTAAAACTACCCTAAGTTCCTGGCAGATTCTTAGCCTAGTCCCACTGTGCACTGTCCTGTATCCTCATCCTGGCTCCTGCTGTGTCCTAACCTGGCATGCTGTCTTCTCACTTCTCCAGCTGTCCTACCATTGCGCTTCCTTCATATTCTGACTCCCAGGCTACCTTTCAGCCACTTTCTGAGCTCTAGCTACTCCTCCCTCTGGCCCTCTGGCCCAGCCAACTCCCCCTGCCCTCTAGTATTCCTTGGTCCCTGGAACTCACCTGTAGGGTACTTATTTATTTCAGTGTCTGCCTCTTCTGCCTTGTTGAGGAGGTAGGAACTGAGGGAATGTCTGTCCTGAGGGAACTAACCTTCTTGGGGGAGATAAATGATAAACACATAAAACAGAAGTTTATAAGTGAGTGACTCTGAGGTGCTAGGAGGCATCAGGACAGTCTAGGCAGGAGGGCAGGTGTTACTGGGTCACCTCAGGCAGTGGTGTGACTGTGGGAAAGCACCTGAGGTTTCAAAGCCCTGCACTTTCTGCATTTTGGTGTCACCAAAGACTGGTGAACTTTGCTTATTTGATGACTTTTTGTTGGGATGGACAGTATGGGATGGTTAAGTTCTATTTCAATTGTCTAATAATAATTGAGAGAAATATTTTATTTTTCTGTGGCTTTTCAGATGTTTCTATGATACTGTTAATATATATGAAAACCTTTTCTCTGTCCAATTTGAATTGTCAAAGGAACAAAGGGTAGTGGTCATTTCTAGTTCTATGTGGGTATTAAAAATGCTAATTATTGCCCTACCCAGGCCAAACTTAAGTGCTTATTTTATTTGTGGGAAGAATCAATGCATATGAAAGGGTATTTTTTTTTTGAGTTGGAGTCTCACTCCATTGCCCAGACTGGAGTGCAGTGGCACGTTCCCGGCCACCGCAGCCTTGACCTGCTGGGCTCTGGCGATCCTTCTGCTTCAACCTTCCAAGTAGTTGGAACTACAGGTGCGCACTACCACGCCTGGCTAATTTTTGATTTATTGTAGAGATGAGGTCTCGCCAAGTGGCTCGGCAGTTCTCAAATCTGCAGGCTCAGGCAGTTCACTTGCCTCGGCCTCCCAAAGCGCAGGGATTACAGGCTGAGCCACCGAACCCGGCCATGAAAGGGTATTAATTTAAATGCATCCCTGTCTGTAAACTTCAGCCTTGGCTCTAGTTTGTAATACTGTGATTTCTCGTTGTCTTATCTGCCTTTAGTGACATGTCAGTTCATGATGTGTCGGTTAGTGCGGCTGAGACACATGCCATCGCAGACAAGGCCCTGGGGCTGCGGAAGAAGAGGCAAGTGCTGATCGTGCTGGAGAAGGAGCAAGACTTGAAACTGGTGCAGCCCATTCCCTTCTTCAGGTAGGTCATTGGGTATCTCTGGGAATGTTGGGTCAGCTAGTAAGCTGAGATTTGGAACACTGCCCTGTACAGGTGGGAGAGTCTCAAGGCCTGACCCTGGGCCGGTGATGTGGATGGGGCTGGGTGCGTGACCAGAGGGCTAGAGGTGCATACTTATTGTTAACTACTAAGAAGCAGGTCAGCTCTCTCTCCCTGAGTCCCTTTTTGCTGTCACCGTGTTGATCGCAACCACCTGCCACTTTCCTGTATGGCCTCTCTCAGCCTACCCTACCTAGAAGGGAAAAGAAAACTAACATGTTCTAAGGAAGGGAGGAAGCCAGAGCTCAGAGCAGTTAAATGGGGAGCATAGAGTCAGCCCCAGGGAACTGGCTCTTGAGACCATGCTTTCTCTCCAGGGGAGAAAAGTGCTTTTTCTCACAGGGGGAGCCCTGCAAAATGGGCCTCATTTTGCACAGCCCTCGTGAGTCCTGTGATGTGTGAGGCCTTCTTCCTCCAGGAAGAGCAAACTGGTGTTGGTGGCCCCTGGAGTTGGGGCAGCTTAGCCCTTTAGTGAGCTCTGGCATTCCATTTATATATTTAAATTCTGACATTGAATCTTTAAACTTAGCATGCCTTGGTGGAAGTGTTCCATTTCCACTTCCCCCCACTCCCTGCATACTCTGAGGGCATTGTCACACAGTGGTCTAGAGCTCCTGCCCTACATCAGACTGACCTAGACAGTCCTAATGTTATTAATTGGGTGACCCTGGGAACTGAGGCCACTTTCTAAAAAGGGCAGAACAATATTTCTCTTGTAGGATCACTATGATAATGAACTAGAATGGCCTAGCACAGAGATAGCACTTAGTACCCATTCAGAAAGGGCTGGTTCTGGCAGTTGTGAGTTCTCCATGTGAGCTCCCCAGGAATACCTTCATATCCAAGCACTGAGATGGACAGAAGATAAGGCTTTTCAGGCTGCTCTGAGACTCTCATCTGGTACCCTCCCCATCATTTCATCAGCTGGGTTAGAGTCTCCATCCTGTCAGTGTTTTGGAAGGGACCTGGTGAACCCTGTTACAGTGAAGGAAGAACAGACCTGAGGACATCAGAAGGGCTTATAGTGATGTGAATGGAGGAGAGAGGGCTGGGAACTGGCTTTGTAGCCACCCTCTATGCACTGGAGGATGGCCAAACGGAAGCAGGAGGGTGTTAGGCTTGGTAATTAAATCTGGGACTGGGATCTTAAAACAAGAGTATAGATTCTCTCTCTGGGAGCAGAGGACATGGGGCTTTTAAAGTAACTGACATCTATCCCAGGGGTCAGAAAAACTTTTCATGTAAAGAGTCAGGTAGTAAGTACTAAAGTATTTGTGGGACACACACACACACACACACACACACACACACACACACATATACTTATATATATATATATATATTTTTTTTTTATTGAAGTTTCACTCTGTTGCCCAGGCTGGAGTGCAGTGGCACACTCATGGTCAACCCAGCGTCGACCTGCTGGGCTCCAATGATCCTTCCGCCTCAGCCTTCCAAGTAGCCAGAACTGCAGGTGCGAGCTAGCACACTTGGCTTAATTTTTTATTTATTGTAGAGGTAAGGTCTCACCAAGTTGCCCAGGCTGGTCTCGATCCTGCAGGCTTGGGCAGTTCACTCACCTCGACCTCAGAAAGTGCTGGGATTACAGGCTGAGCCACTGAGCCCGGCCTATTCTTTTTTTTTTTTCTAACAACCCTTTAAAAATGTGAAAACTTGCCAGGCGTGGTGGCTCATACCTGTAATCCCAGCACTTTGGGAGGCTGAGGTGAGAGAATTACCTGCCCAGGGGTTCGAGACCAGCTTGGGCAACTTGGTGAGACCTCCTCTGTACAATAAATCAAAAATTAGCTGGGTGTGGTGGCACACACCTGTGATTCCAGCTACTTGGGAGGCTGAGGTGAAAGGATCACCTGAGCCCAGTGGGTCAAGGCTGTGGTGGGTAAGAGTGTGAATCTGACTCAAAATAAATAAATAAATAAAAATGTGAAAACCATTCTTAGCTTGTGGGCTACACTAAACAGACTACAGGGCATAGTTTACTGTCCCCCAGTCTCTTCAGTACCTAGTAGGCATGAGTAAGAGCAAGGCATGAGTGAGTTAAATGGTGTATTTATTTGCGCACTAACTGGTGAGCAGATTCTTCCCTGTCTGAATTTAGTACTAACCGAAGGCAGAAAAATGTCCTGGGAGGCTCCATTGTTCAGATTCTGGATTTTGAAGCACTTTTTATTCCTGTCTCAACACTTCCTGGATGCCAGCTCTGTGCCAAGCAATGTGCTCTGTGCTGGGGATGCAGTGTGACATGGCCTGGTTTCTTGCTGGAGGCAATCCCAGGGGTGGGTCAGCCACCCAGAGGAAGAAGCGCAGGGCTCAAGTTGGTAGACTCTGCTAAAAGAGCAGCTCAATGCTGGGGGGCTCTGAACAGGATCCATACTGCTGTGGGGATTGGGAAAGGCTTAGGTACTAGAGCTAGAGTCTACTGGAGGCATAGGCATTGTCAGGTCAGAGGCCTGGGCCTGGGCCATGGGTGGGGAGTTGTTTCTTTGCAGAGGGCTGCCTACCCAAAGGTCCTGTGGGATGCAGGAGTATGATTTTCTTTGAGGAACTGAAAGAAAGCCTATATGGTAGAAGTGTAGGGGGTGGTGTGGGATGAGGCTGTGCAGCACCGTGGGGCCAGGCTGAGCATTGGTCTTGATCCTGAGGCATGGGAAGCCATTAAGGGATGATATATCATGCCATGCTATACAGTATAATAGATGATATACAACATAGTACACAACCCAGAATGTGAAATTCAAAACAATAATAGCACACAGCATAACACACCACACCATACTACAACAAAACACACAGTAGTCTCATGTTGCCATCCACTGGGCCTTGAGATGGTGCTCCCAGCAGACCCTGCCCAAGGGCTTGTTAAACCCTTTTTGACCACATCTTTGTTGGCAGTCTCCCCCTCCCCCCCAAAAAAACTCCCAGATTAGTGGCAGCAGGGAAATTCCACAGGTGTTTTATAGATTTATCTTTCAGGGGAAGGAGTTTTTGAAGTGATCCTGATTTTCATACCTGCCTAGTTGAGTCTGAAAGTGTCTTAGGCCAAGATGCTTCTGGGCCTTCTGCTATAGTGAGGGGACTCTGGCATGTATCTCCTTGCCCAGTGACAGTCCTCCTGGGACCATTTGATGCTCAGCTGCTAAGTACTGGCTTTTACCACTTGCAATGTGGGAGCTAGCAGGTCTCCTCTGCTGGTCCTGCTCTCTTGCTGGCCATGTGCATTCTGAGTTCTTTGACCTTAGAAAATAAAGTCACCATATGTGGTAGACTATTTTTATACTGTTTTATTGATTTTTATTATTGAAATTGTAAAGCATTTTTGACAAAGCTCTCGTCTTTTCTTGATTTCTGTCACTGAAAAAAGAATATCTGTCAGTTAAAGAAGCTTCTGAATGAACAAGTACATGGTTGTTTCTAACTTTTTTCTTAATCATATGAGACATTTTGCTGCTATCTATAAAATTCACACTGTTCTGTTGCTCAGAAGGTCCTGTGTAGGATCAGTGCCACTCACTCACTGCGTCCATCCCTAGTCTGTTAACTGAGACCATGGGAGTTCAGCCAACCAGTGGGTGGGGTGAGAGGATAGGGATGTTCTAAAACCTTGCTGCTTTATAGCTGTGGAAAGTAGTTTTGAAATTCTGACCTATGGGCCTTGTGAATTTAAGAAAGGTGTGAGAGCTAAGGAATTTAAAATTAATTTTATTCAGAACTTTTTATTATTAAGAAACATTTCTTGAATGTCAGAGTTTAATGCTGGTAGAGTTATAAAATAGGGGGATTGATGTGTCTGTGTGGTGCACATTTTTCACCCTTGCCACCTTGTAAGATTTTAATTTGTACTCTTTGTGAAGGTGATATTTCTGGAGGAGATAAATCCAAGAAAGGATAAAGTGGAAGGAGATTTCAGAAGAGAGCGGAGAGACAGCAAAGCGGCGGTCTGCTCGCGTGCGAAACACCAAGTGCAAAAAAGAAGAGAAAGTAGACTTCTAGGAGCTTCTGATGAAGTTTTTGCCATCCAGATACTGTACACACTTTTTCTGATTGGCAAAAACAAACTCACAAGCCACCAGCCTACCCCACCATTTCTCATTCCGTTGTCACCCTCTTCTCTAGGCACCTCCTTTGTGTTACCCTAACATCTGTGTAGATGTCTGAAGCATAGATCTCTCTGGATTGGGATCTTGGGTCATTCTCATCTCTCTCTGCTTCTGAACTTTCTGAAGGCAGGAGCTATGATTTGCTCATCTCTTGGGCGTTAGAGGCAACACACACATCCCCATGTACTCTCAGATGCCTACTTGCTGGAAGGCAAGGGGCTGCTGTGCTTTGGTATAGATGCTGTGAACACCCCCAAAAGGGAACTTCCCTTCTGCTTTCGGGGCTTGCTTGATTAGCTCTGGGCTCAGCAGTTTCCATTTCATGCTGAGGAGGCGGCGGAGGAGTTTGTGAAGTGTTTCTTGGTTTTGCTGGTTCTTAGTGTTCTTCAGAAGAGCCTAGGAGAGGAGAAGGTGCCAGTCTCCCCAGAGTTGGGAGGGACCCTGGATCTAGTGCTGATCTACATAGGTTTTCACTAGTTCTCCTCCTTTTTTGTCCTTGCTCTCTCACCTCCTTCAGAGGCTTTATGGTCCTCCATTCCTGAACCTTCCTGGCATTTATAGTACTGGTAGGTGGACTTTCTTGATATACCCATTCCTCTGCTCTTAGCTGAACGGAAAAAGCAATTCATTTGCACCAGGCCGTCATCTGTCAGCCTTCTAATATTTTATTGGCACTTTTTTTTGTCTGCTGGGGCTTCCTCTCCAATCTTCTGCGTCTTTGTGAATTTATACCTTTGTTTCCTTCATAGTTACTGGAGTGGAGTCTGGGAGGTGACCACCTGTGTTGTTGTTTTATTTCATGTCAGATTATTTCAGTGGCCATGAATTGAAGCAGAGAAGGAGAGACCAGAAGATGAAGCCAGAAGGTGGATTGTAAATTTGTTTTGCAACAAGATTCCTAATTTTCTTAATTTGTTGTCTTTCTGTCTCTGTGGTGAAGGCGAAATGCTTAGAAATCACGATTATTCTCAGGAAGTATTTGATGTAAGACCAAAATGATGAATTTCTCCTAAGGCATAGTACCAGGAGGTGTCCCTTTGAAAGAGCTGCAGGCATATATTACCTTAAGAAGTGTGCAATATTGTGCTTTTACGAAACTTGAAGGAAGGATTTAGAGACTTTTTTGAGTTAGAGTCTCACTTTGTCTCAGTGCTGGGCTCAGGTGGTTCTTCCACCTCAGCCTTCCAAGTAGTTGGAATTACAGGCACGTACCACCATGCCCAGCTAAATTTTTGATTTATTGTAGAGATGCAATCTCGCCAATTTCCCCAGGCTGGTCTTGAACCCGTAGGATTAGGTAATCCTCTCATCTCAGCCTTCCAAAATGCTGGGATTATAGGCATGAGCTACCATGCGGCAGAAATTTTTTTTTTTGGAGTTGGTGTCTTACTCTGTTGCCCAGGCTGAAGTGCAGTGGCATACTCGTGGCCACCGCAGCCTCGACCTGCTATGCTCAGGCAATCCTGACTCCTCAGCCTTCCAAGTAGCTAGAACTATAGGTGTGCGCTACCATGCCTGGCTTATTTTTTTATTTTATAGAGACAAGGTCTCACCAAGATGCCTGGGCTGATCTCAAACCCCTGAGCTCAGGCCATCCTCTGCTTTGACCTCCCAAAGTGCTGGGATTATAGACTTGAGCCACTGTACCCGGCCCTAGAGACTTTTTTTTTAAATGGGAGGAGACATTCCAATGGTTTCAGTGATGAAAACAGAAAAAGAAGCAGCAAAGAGAAAGTATAAAACATGCATGTGGAATAGCAAGGAATTAAGTTAGGTTGGGCTAAAGGTTATGCCATTAAAAAAAAAAAAAATCCTTGACTGGGCTCAGTGACTCAAGCCTGTAATCCCAGCACTTTGGGAGGCCGAGGTAAGGGATTGCCAGAGCCCACGGGTTCAAGAACAGCCTGGGCAACTTGGCAAGACCTCATCCCTATAATAAATTAAAAAATTGTCCAGGCATGGTAGCGCGCACCTTCAGTTCCAGTTACTTGGAAGACTGAGGCGGAAGGATCCCTGGAGCCCAGTGGGTTGATGCTGGGGTGACCGTGAGTGTGCCACTACACTCCAATCTGGGTGACAGACTGATACTCTGACAACAACAAAAAAAAAGATCCTTAACAAAATACTTGGGACAAAGATACATAGTATCTCAATTACTACAGTAAACTTGTAATACCACATGTATTTTTTTCTCAAAACATACAAATAAAACAAGGAAGAGAAAAGCCTTAAAGAAAGAGCTACAGTACTGTGCTTTGGTTGACAACTCCAAGCGGTCTGAGTGACCCCATCTTCCCCTTAGCCCTGCTTTCCTACCCCAGGGTCTTATTCCCTAGCCCCCTTTATATAGAATGGGTTCTATTTTCTTAACTTTATTTTAGTTGTTGTTTTCCTGTGTGGTTTTAGTGTCTGATTCTTTGAATGGTCAGGCAAGAACAACATGATAGCTTGCTTGATGGAGTGAGTATAGTATTTGAATGAAGACATTCCACATACCCTGAGTGCTTATGCCTTGGAGAGCTGGATTAAGAGGATGCCACTAGGGTGGCCAAAATGTGGTCCTTGTGTGGAGTCTGAAAGGATGGTGCCTATTAGGAGAGGTCTCTGCATTCCCAAGGATGGGCCGGTCCCGCGGCTTTGTGAGGATCTATGTGGGACCAAGTTCAGATAGGCCTCATGTTCCCTACACTCTAACTACCCAGTCCCTTTCTCCTTGCTTGCTAGGCTCCCTGAGGTTCTAGAACACACCAGGTGCTCGCTGGCTTATGCTTTTGGACCTGCTCTTGTCCTACTTCTTTGCATGGCCAGCTCTTCTCCTCCTTTGGTGTTAGCTTGAACATCATTCCCTCTGAAAGGCTTTCTCTTACCTTGCTTTCTAAAGCAGGGCCCTTGTGACCCCCAGTCTCAAGCACTGTGTCACGGTTGATCCTTATTTGGATTGTTTTGTTCACCTGTTTATTGCCATCTCCTTCTTTAGCAGGTAAGCTTACTGTAGGTAGGGTCTGCCACACTTCTGGCTGCTGAATCTGATGCCTGCACAGTGCCTGGCATGTGACCGGCACTCAGTAATAATCTGTTGATGGAATGACTGAACAAGTCAGGGTACAGACCAGATGTCAGCTCACAAAGCCCTGGAGAGAGGTGGCACCTCCTGCAGGCCTGGGCTCTCACCCCACTCATTTTAGCCTTCTTCCTGGCTCAGATTTAGTTTCTCTATTAGGAAGAGTTCAGATGCTGTGCCAGAATGTGTGGTGTGACTTTGTGATTTTGCATGTTCTGTGCAGGTTAAGAAAACTGGACCCTGAGGAGGAGGATGATTCCTTTAATAACTACGAAATCCAGTCAGAAGCTAAAATGGAAACCTTTCCAAGTATGGGGCCTCATAGACTGTCATTTGACTCAGCCACATTTATGGAATCTGGTAGTCGTTGAACACTGATCATTTCCTATTGGGAATTTTTCTTCTCACTATCTATAACATGCTCATATTTTATTCTGGGAGAATGGTTCTGGGGTGTTTTTCTAAGTGTAGTCAAGTGACTGCCTGGATTAGTCTTAGGCCTGAGCCCTGTGGTCTGCCATAAGGTCTGCTAAAATGTCCAGGCTCATGTTTGCTGTGTTTCCTTAAGGTTGAATTCAGAGGCTTGGCTTTGCAAATTGGATGTATCTGAGCACAACTATTGAGTGAGATCAGTGAACATGGCAGCAACTGGTGGTGGACCCTTTTGATATTCATTTAGAGGTGGAGATTCAGACAGGTTTGCTCACAGTTGTGAGGGCTAGAGCTAGACACGTACCTCAGCAGCCTGATCTCAGCACCACAATGTGGTATCGTGTCTACCTGGATCAGGTGATGGAGGGAGGGCACAGGTTCTCCCCTCCCAAAGAGAATAGGAGACCATGGGATGTGCGTGAATTCCTGCTGGAGAACTTGACCAACGGTGGCATCCTGGAGCTGATGATGCGCTACCTGAAGGGCATGGGCCACAAGTTCTTGCTCAAGTGGCCGCCGGGACTGGCAGAGGTCGTGCTCAGCATCTACCACAGCTGGCGGAGGCACAGCACCAGCCTGCCCAACCCACTGCTGAGGGACTGCAGCAACAAGCACATCAAGGTTGGGGCCTCTCAAGGGCTGGCATTGGACTGGGTTTAGTGAACAGGGACAGGAACCGTCAGAGGTATGGGGCTGCTGTTGTGCTCAGCCCCCTTGGCTGTGTCTACTTGTGGTCCTGGACACTGGGCTACAGCGGGGCTTGAAGTAGGAAGTCATGGGACCTGGTTTGTGCCCAGAAAGATCCCTGGTAACTGAATGGAAGATATACTCCAGTGAGTGGGCATGGGGGGCCGTCAAGACGCTGCTGCCATCTGAGTGGTAGTGGTGGCTGAGATTCATGGTGGTACTGGGGTAGGGGATTCTGGAGGCAGAGCTGGTAGGATGAACTGGACAAAGGATATGAGGGAAGAGAGTCATAGGGAGGCTTTTTGGGTCAATGACTGAGATGGAGGAGAGCTCACCAGGAAAGGCTTGGGGAAAAGGGAAGCATCTGATGTGTTTGAAGTGCCAGGACTGTGACCAAGTGAAAAAACAGAAATATAGAAGCTAGGTAGGCTCTTAGGGGAGTAGCAGGGGCTTCCAGCAGTTGGGGGCTAAGCCTTCCTCAGTCTGGTCTGCCTGCTGCACTCCATGCTCCAGGCTCCTCCACTGGATAACTACTGAAGCTCAAGGGAACACAGGGTGTTCCGGCCCCCTACTCGTATTGGAGGGGGAACACTGAATGTTAAGGCAGGAACACAGTGGTCTTTCTGGCTGAGGGCATAGAAGGTAGAGGAACTTATGGGGTCAGTGGTCCTTTGCTAGGCACCATCTACTCAGATACCTCAGAGACTACCTTTTGGCAACTTCTGCCTACTAAGCCTCCCCCTTCCCGGGGGCAATTGTGGAACAGGAGGAGTCAAGGGTTTGGTTTCCAGGCATACCAGGCTGGTCATTTCTAAGCTGTGCCTGCTGGGCAAGTGCCTCCTTATTGCAGAGCCTCAGCTTACTCGAGTGCTCTGGGAATGGTGCGCCAGCCTCCCGGCATTTTTAAAGGTTGAGAGCTATAGTTTGGATGCAGCATCTTGGCAGGTGATGGGGCTGCCTCTTCTACAGGACAGTCTCTCAGGATTCTGAAGACGGCTTTCCAGTCCGTTCCAAATATTGTTCCAACATAGATCTATGTACCTCTTCTTATGTTCAGGCAAGTAGCCATCTATTATCTCTTATGAAATGTAAAGTAGACCCAGCCTGTGTGACACAGCCAGACCCTGTCTCTACAAAAAAATGAAAAAGAGGCCAGGTGTGGTGGCACATGCCTGTAGTCCTAGCTTACTACTCAAGAGGCTGGAGTGGGAGGATCACATGAGTCCAGGAGCTCAAGGCTACAATGAGCTATGATTGTGCCATTGCACTCCAGTCTGAGTGACAGAGTGAGACCTTGTCTCTCAAAAAATAAAAATAAACAAATTGAAATGGAAAGTAGATAGAGAAAAAAATATATATACAGACTTGAGATAACTATTATTTTTATCAAAAAGTAAATTTTAAGCCAGGCACCAGTGCCTGCAATCCCAGCAATTTGGGAGGTGGAGGTGAGAAGATTCCCTGAGCCCACTGGTTCGAGACCAACCTGGGCAACTTGGCGAGACCTCAGTTCTATAATAAATAAAAAAATTAGCCAGGTGTGGTGGTATGCACCTGTAGTTTCAGCTACTTGGAAGGCTGAGGCAGAAGGATTGTCTGAGCCCAGCAGGTTGGGCCTGGGTGACAGAGCGAGACTATGACTCAAAAAAAAAAAAAAAGTAAATTGTAGTTTGGCTTCCTCTTACCCTCTACACTCTGACGGGTCTTTGTGACATTGTTCTTGACCTTCCTGTGCCTTTCCTGCAGGACATGATGCTCATGTCTCTCTCCTGCATGGAGCTCCAACTGGATTAGTGGCAGCTGACCAGAGGCAGAAGCTCTGCAGATAGGAGGCATTGTTTTCTGTGGCAGTGCTGATTCTTGAACTCCCAGCAGCCAGGAGAAAGCTGAACAGGGGCAGCTGAGTTGTGGAATTCAGACTTACGTCTGCAGTAGGCACATTTTCTGGGTTGGCTTGTTAGGGTGCCAGAGAAATCAGGACATTCAAGAAATGGTTAACAGCAGCTGAACCCCCAGAGGGAGCCACCTGCCTGCTTTTGCTGTTGCTTGGGATTGAAAGAAACAGGATCTCAGTTTTGATGTGACCATTTGATGCTTTATGTGTCCCCAATAATTTTTCCACTACCACCTGGTGGAATGTAGATATGCTCAAACTCAGTCTATAAAATTTCTTCCTGCCTCCTACTCTTGGAGTCTCAGCATCTCTAACTGGTTAGACCTCTCTGATACCTGCCACTCTAAGGCTTCAAGGGACCCAGGATATCCCTGGAGACAGGGTGGGTGTAGTGAGGGCTGAGGGCAATTTGCGGGGAGCAGAAGAGCATCTGAATGCTACTCATGAAGTTAACTTGGTTCCTTATGTTTTTCAGTGTCTCCTCGGAACAGCCCTGCTGGTGTGGTGAATGGCAGATTTGGGCCCGACTTCCCAGGGACCCACTGCTTGGGTGACCTTTTACAGCTGTCATTCGCTTCATCCCAGCGTGACTTATTTGAGAATGGCTGGCTGGAGTTTGTGGTTCGTGTTTACTGGCTGAAGGCTTGCTTCCTGGCGCTGCAGGTTGGTTCCATGGTCAGCTGCTTGGGGAACATGCCCTGGTACCTGGCAGGAAAGGCAAAAAACTGACCATGTTGCGAATGTGTGTGTGTATGTGAATGCTCATGTGCATGCCCACCACCTGCCCCAGCACTGAGCTTGGCATGAGGAAGTGGAGAGTTGGCGGGGAATACTCAGTATCTCAGAAATCCAGACATGACCACCCATCTGTAAAACTCCTCAGCATAACCACTGAGCTCTGGAAAGGCTCTCTCTGACTCCCACTCAAGATTGCCTTCTGGTCTTGACCTTTTGCTTATGTTTTCCTGAAGGAGTCTGAGTGAGTACTTGAATGGATGCAGAGCTTTCTAGAAGGGAATTATCTACCAGCTTTGTAAGAGTTCTGGGAATACTTCTCTTCAGAGGCTGGTCTGGAAGGCTGGGGTGGATTGACTGTTACCCAGCACCTTGCACACAGTGGTACCTGATACATGTGGTAGAATGAGGCAGAGATTGCCAGGGTCCTGTTAGCAGCCATTTGATATGAGAGTAGCAACACTGATGTGAACATCAGTCCTGGAATTAGGACAGGTCTAGGTCGTAATCCTGGCTCTGCCAGATACCCAGCTTGCTCAAGTGTCTTCAGTGTCCTCATCTGTAAATGGGGTTGATGATACCTCCCCTCACAGAGTTGTGGTTTGATTATCACTCATTTAGCAAGTATTTATTGAGCCCCAACTAAATGCCAAGTCTTGTTTAAGGAGTATAGCAGTAATTGGATAAAAAACACCCTCATGGCATCCACAGTCTAGTGGACTCAAGGATGTAAGGCACCTGACACAGCACAGTTAACCTTCTGACCCCTCTTTTGACCTGGTTTTCCTTCTGACCAGGGAGACGTGGAGGAGGCCCTGAAGAACTATGACATCTGCACAGAAATGCTCCAGAGCTCTGCTGCCATCCAGGCAGAGGCAGGGGCTGAGCAAAGAGACATTGTCATCCAGCTGTCCAACCTCCATAATGACTCCATTGTTTCCCTGGAGGAGGTGAGTGGGAGTTTTTTTAATGGTGTTTTCTTGGTCAAAGATGTATTCTAAGTTGGCCCAGTTAGTCCAGGCCTGACCTGTCTCAGGAACGAGAGAGCCACCCACATGCTGAGCAGGGCCTCTGGAGGGAGGGCAGGAGAGGTCTGGGGGAGGCCACCCTAGCACACTAGGGCACTGCAGATCCTTGATGAATAGCTCATTCAAGCAGCAGGTGTGGAAGTTCCTACAAGCAAGATTTAGAAATAGTTATTGCTCAGCTCTTCTGGCTACATGTTGCAGCCACTCCAGTGGGAATAGAAGGAAATACCAGCTAAAGCAGACCAGTGGGCTGATCATGGGGCTGGATCAGCAGTGTGTGGTACATATGCCAGGTTCTACTTGGGTGGAACTTTTCTCATTGTGTGGTTTCAGACTCCACGGCAGCTCCATGCCTGTGACATGCCCACGTTGGGTGAAAATGGCCTTTAGACTTTTGCTGAGTGGTTTCAGGGCAAGTCTAGGTGTAGTTCCCTGCTGCCTGTACACTGGGGTCATGCTAAGCCCCATGTGATCATCCGTGGTGTGTGTCAGCCTCTGGCCCAGACCTGCTGAGTCTCTGACAGCCTGGAGCTCTGTAGTTCTGCAAATCTGGTTCATTGCACTGTGACCAGGTGGTTGTCCATCTATTTTGGCAGATGCTGTTCTAGAACCCCTTTGCTTCTAGGTCAGTTTTTGGTTTTTGGTGTTTGTTTTTAAAGAAGGGAATGCCTTGACCTTAATAGAAATACTGGAAAAAAACCCCAACTACATATACATGTATATATATACATGTATACACACACACACACACACACACACACACACACACACACACACACACACACACACATTTAGCTGGGTGTGGTGGTGTATGCCTCTCGTCTCAGCTTCTTGGTAAGTTAAGGTGGGTGGATTGCTTGAGCCCAGGAGTCTGATGACAGCCTGGGTAACATAGTGAGACCTGGTCTCAAAAATAAAACAAATAAATAAATCATATGCATTTAATATAAATACTGATAGAGTAGGTGGAGTAATTTTGATCCTCCTTATCTGGGTCTGATAAATGCAAATGCTGGCCAGATTCAGGGAGGATGTAAGGGGTTTGCCCTCAGACAGCATTTCTGGGCCTTTTTAAGATTGAAAAGAACCTGAAGTCTCTGGAGCGGTGCCAGTCCCTGGAGGAGATTCAGCGGCTGTATGAAGCAAGCGACTACAAGGCTGTCATGCATCTGCTCCGTCCCACTTTGTGCACCAGTGGGTTTGACCAAGCCAAACACCTGGAGTTAATGACGTCCATTCCTGAGAGGCCAGCACAGCTGTTGCTGCTGCAAGTGTGTGTTGCCAATGTCCCTCACCCCTGCTCACACCTTCTTTGCTTGCTTGTTTATATGTTTATTCCCTGGAGCTTCTGAGACAGCCCTTGAGAACACATTCCTACAAGAGAAAAGTGGGAATCAGAATCACTAGTCTAATCCCCAGGAAAATGCCAATCAGAAGATATGGTCAAGACTAGGGAAAAGTTAGAACCTAGGAGTGCAGGTTCTAGGGTTCTGCGTGGCTCAGGGTAAGCCCCATACTTGACTCTGAACTTCTTGGTGGCAGAGGAGAAAGAAAGAATAGTCAGGACATCGCCTGTCCATCCTTCTGTTTTTTCATCTGTCTCTTTTGTTGTTGTTGTTACTTTTTATCAGTATTGAGTAGATATAAAAATGGATAAAATATCTATCTGTGCAGTGTGAAGGAGCAAGATAAAACAAAGATCCATGGACAGTTTTGTAGGTTTTTTTTTCTCTTCCACCCCAGTACTTAGTTGGAGAAGAAGAACATCAGCATCGTGTTTGAAGCCACATGTGCCCTGCTGGCTCTCTCTGTGTCCTTTAGGAAGAAACTCTTTTAAAAACAATTTTTTTTTTTTTAAGATGTTGAGTACAATTCAGGATTAGGTATACAAATGTTCATTATGCAGGTACCCTTGTTGATGAGGTGTGCCCCCCCACCCCCAGCAGTTTCCCACTACTGCCAATCCCTTTCTTATAGTATTATGATATTGTTCAAGGTCCGCTTATGAGTGAGAATATGTGATACTCAGTTTTTTGTTTCTGTGATAGATCACTCAGTATTATAGATTCTATCTAAGTTGTTGTGAAGGTAATAATTCTGTCCTTCTTTATGGCTGCATAATATTCCATCATGTACATGTGCCACAATTTTTTTAAACCCTGTCCTCTTTTGATGAGCAGCACAGTTGGTTCCATGTTTTTGCTATTGTGAATAATACTGCAATAAACATGCATGTGCAGGTATCTTTTTCATAGAGGGGTTTGAGTTCCTCTGGGTATATTCCCAGTAGGGAGATTACGAGGTCGTATGGAAGGCTGATTTTTAGATCTTTTAGGAATCACCAAACAGAGGTTGTACGTGTTTACACTCCCACCAACAGTGTAGAAGTGTTCTCTTTTTGCCACATCCTCTCCAGCATCTGTTAGTTTTTTTTTTTGAGTTGGAGTCTCACTCTGTTGCCCAGACTAGAGTGCAGTGGCTGCTCCTGGCAACTGCAGCCTCAACCTGCTGGGCTCTGGCGATCCTTCCGCCTCAGCCTTCCAAGTAGCTGGAACTACAGGCGTGCGCTACCACGCCTGGCTAATTTTTTGATTTATTGTAGAGATGAGGTCTCACCAAGTTGCCCAGCCAGGTCTCGAACCTGTGGGCTCAGGCAATCCACTCACCTCAGCCTCCCAAAGCACGGGATTACAGGCTGAGCCACCGAGTCCAACTATCTGTTGTTTTTTGAGTTACTGATGATGGCCATCCTGACTGGAGTTAGGTGGTATCTCAGTGTAGTTTTAATTTGCATTTCTTTGATGACTAGTCAGACTGAGCTTTTTTTTTTTTTGAGTTGGAGTCTCACTCTGTTGCCCAGACTGGAGTGCAGTGGCCGCTCCCGGCCACCGCAGCCTCGACCTGCTGGGCTCCGGCGATCCTTCCACGTCAGCCTTCCGAGTAGCCGGAATTACAGGCGCGTGCTACCACGCCCGGCTAATGTTTTGATTTATTGTAGAGATGAGGTCTTGCTGCCCAGGTGGGTCTCGAACCCGCGGGATTACAGGCTGAGCCACAGAGCCTGGCTAGACTGAGCATTTTTTCGTGTATCTGTTGTCTGCTTGTAAGTCTTCTTTTAAGAAGCGTCTATTCAAATTTTTTGTCCACTTTGTAATGGGGCTGTTTGTTTTTTTCTTTTCAGCATGTTTGAGTTCCTTTTAGAGCCTAGATGTTAGGGCTTTGTCAGATATACAGTTGGCAAATATTTCTTCCCAGTCTGTGGGTTGTCTCCCCACTCTCTTGATGGTTTCTTTGACTTTGCAGAAGCTTGTCAGTTTGATAAAATCCCACTTGTCTATCTTATCTCTTATGGCATGGGCACTTTGATCAGGAATTGGTTGCCAGTTCCAATTTCCATAAGAGTGTCTCCTCCATTTTCTAAGGTTCTTATAATTTGAGATTTTATGTTTAGGTCCTTATTCATTTAGAGTTGATTTATGTATATGGTGATAGGTAGAGGTCTTGTTTCAATCTTTTGCATGTGGTCAACCAGTTTTCCCAGTACCATTTACAATAAGTTCTCTTCTACCCAGTGGTCGATGGTGGAGGCTCTGTTGAAGAAGAGTTGGTTGAGAAATTGAGGTTTTGCTTCTGGAATCTTTCCTGTTCCATTGGTCTGTATTCCTGTTCTTATACTAGTACCAGGCTGTTTTGATTATTGTAGCTTTATAGTAAAGTTTGAAGTCTGGGAGTGTGATACTTCCCACTTTGTTGGTTTTTTTTTGAGTTGGAGTCTCACTCTGTCCCCCAGACTGGAGTGCAGTGGCCGCTCCCGGCCACCGCAGCCTCGACCTGCTGGGCTCCGGTGATCCTTCTGCCTCAGCCTTCCAAGTAGCCGGAATTACAGGCATGCGCTAGCATGCCCGGCTGATTTTTTTTGATGTATTGTAGAGACGAGGTATCGCTGCTCAGGCGGGTCTCGAACCCGCGGGCTCAGGCAATCCACTCACCTCAGCCTCCCAAAGGCGCGGGATTACAGGCTGAGCCACCGAGCCCGGCTCCACTTTGTTTTTTTTACTGAGGATTGTTCTAGGCGATTTGTGGTTGTTTATGTTTCCATATGAATTCCTGTCTTGTCGTTTCCAGGTCTCAGAAGAATGCTGCTGGTAATTTAATGGGTATTGCATTGAATCTGTAGATTCTTGGGTAGGATGGACATCTTAACAATGCTGATTCTTCCAATCCATGAGCATGGAATATTTTTCCATTTGTTTATGTCTGCACTAGAGTCCCCCTTTGCTCCTTCCTTCAACTGCTCCTCCTGTTTACCTCTACTTACCGTCCTCTGTCTCTTTTGTTCCTGCAGGGGAAGGAGGTTGCCCAGGGGATATGCTGGGAGCAGGAGGGGGACACCTGGGCTTTGGTGAGCTCTGCATCCTTATTTATTTCCCTGGCAGGCTTCCAAGGCATTTGAAGACACAGCTGGCAGGCCCACGTGTGGTGGGGATAAGGCGTTAGGAGCGAGTGAGAAGCAGAACCCAGGCATTGCTGGGTAGGCAAGCAGGGCGATTCTACTTGGCTAAGCCTCCACTCAGCGATCCCTCTACTATGGCTGGCCCTCACCTGCCTTTGTGACTTTGCACTGGCCTGTTCCTCCACCTGAAACTTCATCTCCATCTAGACTCTTCTGGGCACCGTCCACTTGACCTGCACAAGGACTACTCTCTGCAGAGTGTGGGTTTGGGGGGAGGATATAGGGGACTAGGGGACATCAAGCTGGTTGTCAAATATAGTGGTACAGACCAGGTACAGTAGCTCACGCTTGTAATCCCAGCAATTTGGGAGGCCAAGGCAGAAGGATTGCTTGAGCCCAGGAATTTGAGACCATCCTAGGCAACATAGTGAGACTTCATCTGTACAAAAAAATATAAAAAATTAGCTGGGCATGGTGGCATGCACCTGTAGTCCCAGCTACTCCGAAGGCTGAGTTGGAAGGATCCTCTGAGCCTAGGACGTCAAGGCTGCAGTGAGCCAAGATTGTGCCACTGCACACCAGCCTGGGTGACAGAGTAAGACCGTTAACTCAAAAAATATACATATATAATGGTGCAGGGAGAGGCATGTTTCACCAGTAAAGAGGGGAGGGTGTTTCTGGTGAAGGAACAGTCTGAAGGGAGGGTAAAGATAGGGTAGTGGGTGTAGTTGAGGTCGGAGGGTTAAGGTTATTGTACTTGGCTTTAAAGAACCTCTGTCCAATCTGGGGGTAATGGAGGGCTACTGAGGACTATGGTGCAGGGCAGTAATGAGACTTAAGCGCCCTTAGAAGCTTCTCGCTAGCTGCATCTGCAGCAGAAATCCACTCAAACTCAAGCAGAGGCCAGGATCCCAGGGGGCACTGGACTGCACCTTTCAGGGTAGGGCAAGAAATGTGACTGTCCCAGCGTCAGCAGAGCCTAAAGGCAGTGCCAGGTATGTGTCCCCAGTGGCCAGGGTAGCGTGAGCAAGGGGACATAGGAGAACCAGTAGAAGGTGGTTAAATAACAGGAAAAGGCCACTTCTCCCAGCTGCTGGGTGAGCTCGGAAAGGAACTCGTCCGGCACGGAGTCACGAGGCACGTTGGTGTTCACGGCGAATATCGGCATGATGGCAGGACACGCACGCCGCTACCGCTGCCGCTGCTCGGGAACCTGAGCTACGTGACTGCCGCCTGG